TATTTTTGCATTGGGAACATGTTAATTATATATAATGAGGTTTTTTTCGCAAGCTCTCGGACAAGCACTGAGCATACAGTGCTTATTAATATACGTTTGGTACGGGCAAACCGTTATATATAATTAACATCTTCCCAATGCAAAAATACATCTTGAAAATATATGTAAGTACATGCACATACATGTACCGGTAGATACATGTACATGTATAGAATTTCCCTGTACATGTATAAAAGGCTTATGGTACCTCGCATCTCTTTTTCATGTTCTAGATTGCTTTGCGGAATTTTCGGTCATGACATGGCACTCTGTGTGGTAGAGAGCAGGGTCCGTTGCATGGCAAGTCTCCTCTAATCTGTTGGCCTGGTGAAACCATGCTTCAGAGGTGTCCAGTAGGCTCTTCTCAGCAGTTGCTCAGGTATGTTTGGAAGTGTTTTAAGTTTTATTATTAAATGTAGTTGCTTACATGTACTTTAAATCTCTTTATTCGTTTATTTATTCCTTTTTTTTAAATTTTGTGTACCTGGATAGCCCCATCAGTTGTCAATGAAGTGTTCTACTTGGGGCCCTGGGTTAGACAGAGACACAAACATACATGTACTTGTGTAAAATGAAAGCAATAGGTTTGCAGTAGCACCATGCTAAATATATTTTGTGTGTGTATACGGTTCTGAGAAGAACTAGAGGGTCCCCAGCATTTCGGACAGTATGCTTCTGTCTGTCATAGGGAGCCTGCAAGGATTCCAACGGTATAGCGGCTGTACCCAAGGGTACTCAAGCAGAACATGGGGATGCTAGACAATCAGTGAAGTGTGTCAGTCCGAGGGAGAGAGGTGCAGGGGAAGGATGCCGCTCTGCACATCTCTAAATTTGGGGTCCAATTTGTTTCCTGTCCCTGATGTATGATTTTCTAGTGTTGACAACTCATTCTTTAACTTCCAAAGTTGAATGAATACTCAGACCTGCCAACTAGTACGATGAAGCCACATTTCCTGCAGGAAATTCTTGAAAATACGACAATACAGGTTTTGACGATATTGACATGCCTGAAAAAAAATCATACATCAACACATGTGAGTGCACGTTATGTTAGAAATATACAGCCTCAAACATTTGCACATGTACACGTATGTATGTACAATGCACATGTACTTGGACGTGTACAAACCTCTTGTGTAAACAGCATCCGGCAACCACCCAACATTACATGTATGTTGTGATTGGCTGCCCATGAAGCATCAATATTCATGTTGCATTAGTAGGACTCTTTAAAGCCGCTTGTACATGTGGAAGTACTGACAAACAATCTCCAGTAATTTATGTACATGTAGTGCATGTTTTAGGGCCAGCGTAAATATGCGGCTTGAAATAAGGTTACTCATTTTCTGCTTTCACCGCGACACAGGGCCTCGTCGTTACTGGTATGGGGAAAAGGAAATTGTGTTGTACTTTATTGCATGGCTTTTACAGGTTCTGTGTACGTGGTTTCTCACGAGATTTCAAACAATTTTTGGACATGGACTCATTAACATGACCGTGCAACACCTGTTTATGAATTGTCTAAAGACAGTCCGATTGGATGCAGTCTTTGACAAAACCGATCCGCAAGTTAAAAATCTGCGGAAATAAAAAAAGGAGGGAGATGTTTTACGGTCGGCCAGCATGCAGCCAACAAAATCTGTGCAAGGAAATTCCAAAAACCTAGACTTGCGATGTGCATTTCAAGATTTCAAATTTTGAAAATGTGATCAATTTAGGTTGGAATATTGTCATTTCACTCTTCAACCTGGACAATGCATTTTTCATGTGATTATTTTTAGGCATGAAGAAGTCATTGATATATCCCTTGTGAAAAGCCATGTCAGGTGTAACAGGGACGGAAATACATGTATGTCACACGTTGGACCCCAAATTTATAGAATGATAAGCTGGGAACATAACCTAGGGTATAGGAGAGCCATGCGACAGGATTGGTATAATGTGGAGAGTTCTGGACCACCTTTTCCCTTGGGTACCTACATGTATCCGACCCTAATAAAAATCTCCCCCCCGTTCCAAACCCTCAATGAGAGAGCCACTCTCTCGTTCTAAACCCTCAAGGAGAGAGCCAGCCTCCTCTCTCTCAAAAAAAAGAAAAAACATTATTACACCTTACTGTGTATCAAAACTGCAAAACCAAAAACCGAGATGCCTAACCAGAAAAAAGGAAAACGTCAGTCAGAACAGAAGCAATAAGTCAAACAAGCTCTCTCAAAAACAAACCAAAGCTGTGTGAGTTGTGTGGAGTGCAACGAGTGCAAAAATTGTAACTTTTGTATAAAGTGCTGTAGCTGCAAAAACTGTACCGATTGTGACGGTAACTTTTATTGCAGATATTGTACAATTGGCAAATGTTTAGTATTAAGTAATGGCTGTAAGTATTGTAAAGATTGCGAGGTTTGTCTCTAATACAACGAATGTAAAAAATGTGTCAATTGTTAACTTTGTACCGACTGTATACTCGGTAACAAATCTTTTGATCTTACCAAATGCTTTACTTGTTTTAACTGTTCTGGTAAAAAAGACTGCAGACACTATGTAAATAACGAACCAAACTTTCAAGTCATGGCACATTATTTATTTTTACTTCAACAACTGTAAAAATAAAAAATATTGATATATAATAAAACAACTTGCAGCACCTAAAAATGGAGAAGAAGGTGCAGCAACTGTCACAAAGAAAAACCATCGTCAACTAGAGTTTGAATTTAAACGTAACAAAAAATTTAGTAAAGGCTGCTTGCGATGTTTTGCAGATAACAAATGCAGATATAATTGCGAGCATGGACATTACAAATATGATTGTTTTGAATATAAGCCACACACCAAAGAAGTAGGGCGTAATGTCCAGGTGTCATGGGTGTGGGCGAGTAGTGAATTTCAGTAGTCGTGGTGACTACCAATAAATAGTTGCGACTAGTCGACTAGTTGACTAGTCGCGACTATTTGCATTGTTTATTTATCCATTAAAACGCCTGGTCCGCAGTTGCATAACATAACACGGGGTTAATTTGGGATGATGTCGCACTGTGTGTTCCACTTTTTCCATTTGGACTTTTACGCTATTGTGAAGGAAATATGAGGCTATTTTTAAGATAAAAGCTTTCGTCAGAAATGCGTGTGATATTCCTTTTTGTTTCTCGGCTTACTTATAACCACTTTTTGGAAGAAAACCTTAATCATTCTGCAATGTGATCAACAACTTTGCAGAGGTGAAAAGCACATGGCGCTTCCGTCCGACTGGTGACCGACCCGCGACACAGTGCTACGATTGCAACAGTGAAGGACAGGGACCAGTTTATGGCTAGGCTGCGAGGTTTTGAGGTTTTGTGGGGAACAGTTTGGAATCACACATCACAAAAATTAAACTTAAAATTAAAATTAAAGGGGTTTGTAAAATATCATTCGTGACAAATAAAAAAGACTCTATCACGGTGTGCACATTCATTGCAAATCTTTTTTTTTTGTTATTCCACAGACATGCATAAGACTGCATTAATCCCAAAGCTTGGTATTGGTGACTAGTCGCACTAGTCGTACAGGCCTAGTAATGTCAAAGGTTACGTTCCACAAGACCTCTCTTGCAAGCATAAAAAATATGCCAGCTTGCAGAATCTACACACTTAGAGATTATCACTATCCTCGCAAAACCTAAAACAAATTAAGCAGAATTAACCCTCATCTCTAAATTGGATATGAGGGTCAATATAATCGAAGAATATTTTGACATGTTAAAAGAAATACAAATATTAAATGAGTGCTCCAGATAATCAGCAGGGTGCGCCAAATAACAGAGAAGACCAACCACAGTATCGACTTGTTTTATATGGCTCTAGCAAGTTAAAAAAATCATTTTATCAAACTACATTGAGCGATACAACTTGGCTCTACCCCCAGGTTTCGTCGTGAAATGCTTAGGTGCATACTGTATTTGAGCAGGGTGTAACAGGCAAACGCGCCTAGATACCCGCGCTTTCTGAAGCTAGGCCGATTGGAGCACTAATACCGGTAACTCCCATGATGGCGGGGATACCCACAGCTGCTGTCGTTGCTCCCAGTAGTTCGACCTCATGTTCCATGTATTGTATCGCGCATGTCCACCTCTTTAGCTTTTTGTACGAGACCTCTCTCGCGTTACGCTCTCTGAAGATTTGTGCTTTGATGTCTTTGATCTTTGGAGTCTGTAGATTTTGGTTTCTGCTGCTTCGTTTTTGTAAGAGTCACTGCTGTTTAACTTTAGCGTAGGATAAGGGTTTGACTGTCATCTCTTCTTTTTATTATATGCGTTTTAAAAACTTAGCCCTCTAAACATCTAGTTCGATCAAAATTCCAGCGCCTTGTTATTTACAGGTTCTCCATCATGTCCATGCTTGTTTTTAACAGAAAAAGTCAACTTGCTAATGTTCCTGTCTTTTAGCTTTTGAGGCGTTTTAGGTGCATTGGATGTTGAGTCTAGAGGATCGGTAGCTATCATGTGTAACAAGTCTGAAGACTGTCCGTTGTAAAAGTTGTCGTTGGTTTTTAACTGATAGCAGTGAATAAACTCGAGTTTCATGGGGTTTAAGTTATACCTGTATTTGCCTTCATAAATGATGTTGGGTAAAAGTTTGTCTTTGGGTAAGTTCAACAAGCTTGGACACTTCTTTATTTAACGTTTACTTGAGACACTTCTTTATTCAACGTTTACTTGAGGGTCCGTAATTGCTAACGTCATCCTTTTAGATGCTTGGTGTACTTTAAAAGACACGCCTGGAATCAAGTCATTAAAAAGTCAAACCTGTCCATGCTGTAGTAGCTGGGAGATATTACGATGCTTCCTCGTTGGCCTTGGGGTAAGGGCTGAGATGAGTTTTGAGAACGAAGCCCATCATATATTCGTGTAGGTTCTCTTAACCGCATGAGAAAAAGTCTTTTAGCTATATGCACATGTATGTCATGATCTCTGTCTCTGTTGGGTTGGTTTCGGTCTCTTGAAGAGTGGGTTGGAGGGTTCCCTTCATAAATCTCTTCTAAGGGTTGTCTCTGCCCCTCATATAATGACGCTGATTCGACTTTTTATTGTTGATCTCAAAAGCTAAACAGGCTCGTATGTCTTCTGTTTGTCTTTGACCTAATTGCACTTCTAAACTTTAACTTCTTGGTTTAGCTGTTCAATTTGCTCAGCAATGGTTTTGATTTCTTCTCCTAAAGTACCTCCTTCGTTTGCTTGTAACAATCTGTCTTTAGCTCCTCTTACTAATTCTGAATTTGGAACTACATCTCCTTTATCCCCTGAGACTATTCCAGGTAGTGTTTCACCACTAACCCCAGCGCGTTTACCGTCTAAGTTTGTATCCCACTTGATTTCAGTAGATTTGGGCACATTAAAACACCTAGCTT